TGCGTGTATTTGCGGACTAATGAACAGTATTACACACAGGATACACCTGGCCCTAAAAATGCCTGTTTGAGACGGACTCGTCTGCATTTCCCGCTCTTTTCTTTGACCAAACTGTCTCTTTATCAATGAAAGTGTTTTTATATTTATTGAATCTGTTCAGACCCTAACATGCATTCTGGTGAGGACAAGATATCTCATGTATACCATGCTGTATGCACTTTAGGTTGGCATACACACACACACACACACACACACACACAGCACACACCGAATGCAGACATTTCAAACATGAGGACCGTCCAAGTCGTCTTCTCTTACGTCAACATCCACTATTTTGTATGACCTGACCAAATCTGTTTGAAATCAGTCTTTTCATGTTTTTATATTTTCTTTACCGAACGAACTCTGGCCAGGAATTCTGTTGGTGTCCTCCTTCATGATCTAATGGTCGACAAAGTAGCATTGACAGACTTGTTCAAATATATCAATTAAAAAAAGCATTCTCAAAGTGCTTGTATATTGTTGTTTTTTGGAGCTGCATGTGTGCAAGAGTGAAGTGGCCGCTAAATGGTATCTTCGTAGAATGGTTCTTTTTTTCGAGAGAGAATTGATCGGCGACGTTTGCCCTTTTACAGACTCGTTTTCTGACAAACGAAAGCCCTTTTTGAAGGCTTTCCACGAGCATTTTAACAACCAGAGAGCTGCTCAGACGTCCTGTGACTGGACACAAGGCGAATATTGCACTTTCTCGTGGTAACGATGAAGTGCACACCCTGAAAAGGCATGTGAGCGACCTCAATGCCTTTCATCGAAACTCCGACATTGCAAAGGCAGCGTTGAGTTGAGCGTAAAGTGCACGAGGACAGCAGGAAGAGTTGCTGGTTCAACATCTTCGCCCGGTGGAATTCTGCCTCCCAAAATGATCAAATGTGTGTAGTTTTGTGTTTAAAATACAATTGAACAACAGTATCTAACATGCATGCTTTCTAAAGTGATTACTCAATACTTTTATCAGATATTCGCAAGAGGCTGGATACATAATGCATGAATGTCTATGAATGGCCCACAGGAAAAACATATGCCTTTCACTCATGCCAATGACTGAGCATCTGTTCAGGTGCGTAAAGAACTAGTTCAGGTATCCTTTAAGGTATCACTGGTAGACTACACCTGTTCAACTGCTTGTTAAGACAAATTGCTGATCAGTCAATGACATCACATGGCCGCAACTCAATGCATTTAGGCCTGTAGACGTAGTCAAGACGACTCGCTGAAGTTCAAACCGAGCATCCGGATGGGGAAGAAAGGGCATTTAAGTGACTTTATTTTAAACGTGGCGTGGCTGTTTGTGTCTTGTCACAAACCGCTGATCTACTGGGATTTCCAAGCACAACCATCTCTAGGGTTTAAGGAGGATGGTCGGAAAAAGAGAAAGAGAAACTATCCAGCGAGCGGCACGAAAGTGATGTGAGAGGTCAGAGGAGAAAGGGCAGACTGCTTGGAGATGATATAAAAGCACCCGTAAGTCAAATAAGTCATTCGCAAAGAATGCAGAATACCATCTATGGACGCACAACATGTGACACCTTGAAGACGACAGCATGTCTTCTACAACAGCAGAAGACATACCAGGTGACGTTACTGTCAGCTAACAACAGGAAGCTGGGGCTACAATTCGCACAGGCTCACCAAAATTGGACAATAAATGGATAAATAAATAAATCCCTCCATGGCGCTCTGTTGGATTTAGATCTGGTGACTATGACTCATTGTCATGTTTAAGCAACCAGTTTGAGATGATGGGACCCATGGAATGAAAGACTCTGTCATGGCCAGCCGCGACCTCCAGACCCGCATCACATTGACAACCTCCGGAATGTGACCAGCAGGAAGATGGATCGGTCTCAAGGCATCAAACAAAGCAAGTTGTTGCTTTTTTTTTGTCCCCAGGAGTGGAATGAAGTCACCCAACAGCGCTTTGAAAGACGGGTGAGGAGCATGCCGAGGCGAGATCTGAACTCTGACGTATTGTCTGTGTTTAAAAATGATTACAAACTTGTTTTCTTTGGTTTATTCGAGATTGCAATACTGCATCTTTTTTGTTATTTTGTCCATTCTCTGCAAATACAAATCTCAATTTTGGGAGACATTTCATTAGTAGTTTATAATAAAACAAATTGAACGCGGATGATGGTGAAGTAGGTTGTTAAGACGATACATTCGTGACACTCATTTTAACACTTTATTGAGTTAAGAAACCTTTTGATTAAGTTCTCACCCGGGACCTACGTATATGTTTGACCTGTAACCCCTCCGTCGAGTGAGCTCGTCCTTACATACCGATTAGGTCCCTAATGCCCTTGGGGGATGACTGGTACCTCTATGTATCAAGATAAGGGCACTCACCGGTGTCTGCAGGTTTCGAAGCGGTGTTCTTGTCATTCAGCCCCTTGGAGGAGGCCCCTCAGTGGAAAGGAATCCCCCAGGAACAAATGGTCTTTTGTTCCCCAAAAGGGAGAATTATTTATATAAAAAAGCGAAAAGGTTTACAAAAATTGAATAGAAAACAATAAAAGCAGGTTAAAAAGGTTAAAAAGGCAAGATTCCCCGTCTTCGTGTGCGAGCAAGAAACAAGAAGTAAGCGCCTTTTGTGTGTTAAAACATGTTGGCTCATATACTTTTTTAGCAGAAGCAATGTGCGTCACCGGGGTTTCGTTTGCGTCGATCGCATTTTCGGTTCGGAAACTGCGGTTCGGAAGCGCTACTAAGTGTCTATACAGAAAAACAGCTTTACATATCAAACGGAAACATTCTTTTCATCTTTTTGGTCCACAAAGCAAAGCATTTTGTTTTTGTAAGCATTTTTGTTTTACACAGTATACAACACTTGTCTTTGGTGAAGGAATATTTCTATAGCTTTCTGTGGAGCAATTATAGATTGAATGGATAAATTCCATTTGACTGGTGCTTTTAGCATTTGGTCGTGGGCGAAATTCAGTGATGCAGGTTGATTTCATCAGTGCGTCGGTGTGCTTGGGGGTCTGAGCTTTGGCTCCTTATCCGGGCCTAATGGGCCTGTGAATCTGTCACCCGTCCTCTTGGATGACGGCCCCAATGGACTGCTAATCTCCCTCTGAGCCTTGGGAAACTGGGAACTCACCCTGGAGCCAGCTAGCTGCGCTAACGAGATTTGGGAAAGCTGGTGGTGGGTGGAGGTCACATGCCCTCTTTCCCTCCACGGTTCCCAGATGCCAGAACGTCCTGTCAGGCCGATCTGTCCTCCCTCATCATGTGTCCTCAGTCTGTTCCTTTCCTCGTCCACTTTGTCCATTACGCTGTGTGTGTGTGTGTGTGTGTGTGTGGGCATGAAAGGCATATTGATGTCTGACAAAATGGTACAGCGCATCATCTGACTGAGTCCTCAGAAAGATGCACTTGCTATCAAGGCGGAGGCAGCGAAGGAGGTGGTGTGAGCAGTACACGCCAGCACAGACTCTTCTTTGGCTACATTTATATATATTTATCAAAACACGCTTGCAGCTCATGCTAATGTATGGGAGAAGGTTTACTGTGTACTTAAGGTCATTCGCTTAATTTCTTTCAAGAAGCTACTTTCATCCTTGAGTCTGTCACCGTTTGACTGCGGTGCAGCACATTGATTTGTGTTGCAGTTTTCGCCCCACCTTCTGTTCGTTATATTTAACTTCCCATCCTGGATTTCATAAGTTAAATAAAGCGACGTTGCTGAATTTGGCTTTGTGTGACCTAAAAATGTGTTTGTGCCTTGAAGTCAATTCTGTGCAGGACATTTACACGTTGATCCACCTCAGTTGCTGCAATACTGGAAACTATTGAGTTCCTGTGGCTTCATTCATGTCTGCTCCCACTTCCAGGCCATGCAAGCTGCAGAACAACGACTTGTGAGCAAAAAACAAACAAACAAACAACATCTTGAGGTGGATTTAAGTATTGATCACAGAGTGAGGAGTGATCAGATTGGTTTCAACACAACAAAAAGGCATCAATTGTTGATCTGATCTGTCAAACCACGTGGGACGTCTCCCTGATTCTTCTTATATCGGACTCTACCGCATGTGAGAGCCCGGCCAGTCTGGAGACCAAGGGACACAGTTTTATCCCAACATCCCATTCCCCACATTTTCTTCCCCTCCACATGCTGACATCAACAGGTTGGACATTGAGCCAGGCAGCTTAACACACACTCATTTCCACGTGTGTGCCCCCCCACACACACACACACATGGTGTGAAATAGTTTGAGGATTTTGCTAAATTCAAAGCCTGGAATGATGTGTTTAATTAAGCAAAACCAGGCCAGACGACTGTTTTTCTAATACAGACTTCTTGCGTACACATTTTATTTATACTTTTATACTTCAGTAACTTTTTATTTCTTTTGCATATTTTTATATTTAGTAGTATGCTAAATGCTGTCCGTGGTATGCTGTCTGACAGAACACAATTTCGTTACAACAATGAACAATACAAAACTTTTAGCCCCCTTTTAATTTTTGAATATTGTTGTGTTTCATTTTGCATGCGTTACGTGTGGCACAATAAATAGAAATGTACATGGCCCGTTGCAAATAAATGAAATGAATAAATAAATACATTAGCTGACAAAACATGCCGTATTATCATTTTCAGCATAATTTGATCAAGTTTGTGAATCAGAGAGTCCCTCTCAGCTGGACCATCTTACGTTTAGTTTCAGATGAAGTTGAAGCCTTTTTGTGATGCACAGACTCCGCTGCTTCTCTCTTACACTCTTACGTCACGTAAACGTCCCGTTGTTGTGGTTCTCCACAACTAAAAGCTCCGCGCCATCATCGCCATCTGCAGCGGCTCCAATGGGTCTACCCCGGTCCCCCCCCCCTCACCCTCCCTCACCCTCTCACCCGTCCCACCACCACCGCTCCCTCCGCCCGGCTCGACCCCCCCGGGAGAGAGATCGCGAGCCCGCCCGCCCGTGTGTGTGCGTGTGCGTGCGCGCGCGCGCGCGCCGATGTACGCCCGCAGCCCGCGGGGGCGCATGTGCGCCAGTGTGTCCCAGCGTGAGTCTCCGGCCGGTCGAAGCATGGAGGAGTTAGCCAGAGAGAGCATCAGCCTGCTGGCCTCAGCCTCGGCCAAGCCCCGCGCGGACGTGGCCGCCGGGCCCCGGCTCGGCTCCATGGGGGCCATTTTCATCATGCTGAAGTCCGCCCTGGGCGCCGGGCTCCTCAACTTTCCGTGGGCCTTCGAGAGAGCCGGGGGGGTCCGCAGCGCGGTCACCGTGGAGCTGGTGGGCACTTTATTCCCTTCCATATGAGAGTAAAAGATGACTTTGCTACAGGATGTGGGATTTCCCTGCATTGCTAGATTCCTGAGAGATCTGATTTGTTTATTTTAAAAATGTAGGGCAGATGTTTCCTTTTTAAGGACTGGGGTCATTTAAGGAGATGCTGACACCTGACCGGATGGCCATGTCAGAGCACCTTTTTAATCTTTGCAGCATAATTTATTTTCGCTTATCACGCCTTTGCAATATTGACATTGACTCTAAGATTCATGATATGCAGCCTAACGTTTTCAGACTAAACCAAAACCCGTCGTGCACAACTTTCTTTTGCATTCAGCCGGTAAGCAGAGTCGTGTCTAAAACGTCCTCGCACTTCAAACAGATCCCATTTCTCACGTGGATTAGAGACACTCTGTCAGGGAACCTGCACACCACCTCTTCAGAGTTTGGCTGAGAGGAAAAACTCAATCTGAGAAGAAAGCCAAGCATTCCTCTGGTATTTTTTTTGGTGAACTCTGATTATTGAAATCATTGCTTTATCGTACTGGTGCCTCCATTAATTCTGTGATTCAAAACTATTACGTCCAGTGAAGACTAATACAAATAATCTCTAGATTAACTAGACTAAACTAACTAAATAATTGACAACCTCGTCATACAAGACGCCTCCATTAATCCCGTCTTGATCTGAGATGATGCACTCCGCTGCGGAATGCAAAGATTAGTACTTCTAATATATTCAATCAATGGCTCCATTAACAGTTGGCGTTTGGCTCATTATGTGTAAGAGCTTTCATCCTATAATCTCTAAAAATCCAAAAGAGAAATCCTGTTTAGTGTAGTTGGTGCTAAATGAGGTCGCCTGAGTCTAAAGTCGTCTTTTCCTCTGTACTTACCTTTTTAACAAACTACTTTATCACTGCATATTCAAATGTGTGCTTGCTGTTCTCCTCCTCCTTTTTTCCCTTCAGCCACTCCAGACGCCGTATTTGCATCCAAGCTGTCATTTCTTTGTCCATGTTTAGAGACTTGGACTGTACAGATGTTGAGCAGTCAGAACCCTGAACAATGCGTCCTCCGTCCCCCACGTTCCTCCCCGTCTCTCTGTTTGGTCGTTTCTTACTGTTTCTGGGAGCAACTCATTACTTTTTCCAATCTTAACGTCTCTCACTGGAGTTTTGTAGCTCCCTGTCTCTGTATCCCTCCTCCTTTGTCTCGGAGAAAAGGGCTTTTCCACTTGACGTACCCAAAAGGAGGCCTTTCAAATGTGTCCTGTCCCTCTTATTAGTGCTTTAGTAACGTTTTTCATTCATCAGATTAATTCCCAAAAGCTAGGTTTGCTTTTCAGACACAAAATGGCACTCATTCACACAGGCAGCAGTTGTATTAGTGAAATAAGATGAAGGGACTGGACGAGGTCAGACTGTAGACCAATAAAAACATTTTGTTGAATGAGCTACACATTTTTTCCTCTGCACAACGTCCAGTTTGAGGTGTAGCTTACTCTCTTATATTCAACAGAAAAATGAAGTGGTTGGACGCCGTGTCCTATCTGGTGGCAGACTATAACCCCTGAGGAAAAATGTGCTGCGCCAATGTTCTCATTTCTGTCAGTGGTGGTAATTAAATCACATAGTGGCACTTGCTCTTTTTTGGCAAATCACTGTTTCATTTGGACCGCGGAGCAAAAGAGTTCCTGCCTGTGCTTTGGAGGAATGAATAAGTTGTCGTCTGTGTCTCCGCTCCGCCTTCCTTCATCCCCCTCAGGCCTCCCTCGTGTTCCTGGTCAGTGGTCTGATCATTCTGGGCTACGCCTCGTCCATCAGCGGCCAGCGCACCTACCAGGCGGTGGTGAAGGAGGTTTGCGGGACGGCCATCGGACAGCTGTGTGAGATCTGCTTCGTCTTCAACCTCTTCATGATCTCCGTGGCCTTTCTGGTGATAGTGGACGACCAGCTGGAGAAGTGTGAGTAAACGTTACACACAAGCACCGCAACGTGGGTTTTTTGCTTGCCGTCCGCAATGAACGGGCGGCGAAATCGCTGCTTATTCTATTTCTTTTGTATTTCATTATGCGTAACTATAGTAGCTATATTTGTCATCGTAACGTCTAAAAAATTGGAATAACACACATATTGCATGTAAATAGTTTATTAGGTTTATGAAATAAAATGATTTAGGACTTGTCAGGGTAAGCACTGCCTATCGTTATTGGACAGTCTCTCTGAATTGAGGAGTCTTTTTCTTCCTGTCCACATCACAATGGCGTCACCAGAACACAAGACGTCTTGTCTTCCTACATTTAGGAGGGATACAGTTTGAAATAAAAAAACAATTAGGCATTTCCTCCGCTTCTTATGTCTTTTTAATAACTGTTTTCTCCGTCAGTGTGTGGCTCCCTGTACGAGCTGATAACTGATATGCCGGCGTCGGAGATGCCGCACCACTTCTACACAAACCAGCACTTTGGGCTGGTGCTGCTCTGCCTCCTCCTCATCCTGCCGCTGTCCATCCCCAGAGAGATCAGCATCCAGAAGTACATCAGGTCAGGGGTCACAAGTCCACATCCACGTGTTTGTATTTCTTTTTATTATATGTATTGTTTATTTATAATTGGATTATACTAATTTGGTCAAGATCAAAATAGGGCCTGATGTGCCCCAGACGTGGTGTTCATGGTCACCACAAGTGGTTACCTAATAACTTTGGTGACCCCTTTGCCTTTTATGGAGCTCCACCATTGGATCGCCAACACTTTGATGTATAGCAATGGAACTCAACAGCTAATGCTCGGACCAAAGTTGGGGAAGGAATCAGTCTATGATGCATATATTACTTACGTATATTTTAAACGCTCTTCTCCAGTGCCACCTACATTTCTAAATGTCTAATTATATACTAAACATCTACTAATCTAACAGGCGGGTCAACATTGAGTCCACCACCTGAAAAGCTATGAGAAGCCAAATGGTTCAGAAACTCCAAGTTTGCCTCCGAGGGATTTACAGTCTGTACACGTACGACATCCTCTGTCCCAGGAATCCTCCCATTGTTACCCGAAAAGAAGCCCTCTTAACAGTATTAAAAACCAAGAAGCACGAGGGAGAGCAACAGGATGGACAAAAGTACAATGGCTGACCTCCTATTTCCGAATAATCAGCCACCGATCCAGCTGACTTGTGCACGGATGCTCATATTGAAATGTTGGCATTTGTTCGATCTTTCCTGTGCTTTAACTACCCACCTCGCTGCAGTGACGTGGAGGTGGACTCCAGGCTGTCCACCGAGACATCACTGCTTGTTGTCCCAGTGTCTGTCATTGTGTATATCAGCACATGTGCCATGTACGCAATGGTGCCTATAGATAAATGGCAAGCCTCCCTGAAAGTACTGACCCAGTGAGGGTTGGTTTCCAGCCCTCCACCCATGCACCTAGCCGTTGCACTTTGAGCAAGTGTCTCGCTGTTTGTCTGATTCCTGTCTACTTGGTCTTTGTCCCCTCTCACAGTGGTCTTGGCACTCTGGCTGCCACCTACCTGACCATTGCCATCATCATCAAATACCACACCACGCCTTCTGTTGTGGTTCACATCTCGCCTCTCTACACCAGTGGGTATGTATGTGTTTGTGCGTGTGGAGACCAATGATGGTATTCAGGACTCGGAACTATCCGGTTTCTCTCCCGGTCAGAATCAGTCTAGTCTTCATCAGCCGGGACTCGACGTGTTTGCACACACACACCGATAGACAGGGTACACACATGGCTGTACTTTATGTTTGTGTAAATAATATATATGACACACGGCTATTTACGTTGTTTAATAAAAGAACAAGGTATAGTTTTTTTTTTGTATCTTGGCTATATTGGTACGCCCCCCCCCACCCCATATAACGATAGGGGCCAGACGAGAATAATTTTCAGTAGAAGCATGCCGCCTGTGTGTGTTTGTGTGTGCGTCGGTGGGTGGTTGCACCGAGTGAACAAAGCTCTGAGACTTTGTGGTACTGGGAATACCAGGATATGGCGAAACTTAACAGACCGCTGCATGCAAATTTATACTTACAGCCCCCGCGTCCTACTTTTATTTGCGTAACACTATAATGTGCAGTTTGGATGAGGAGAGTAGGGGTTGAGGGAAGATTGATGGAGGAGATTGAAAAGGAACAGGACGCACTAACAGAAGTTAGTGTGTAAAACTGGTACTGGATATACTCGGGCATATGACAGGAGTTGGCTGCGGTTGTCAGCTACGCGTGATCGAGGGATGAACTCTGTGGTGAAGTTTTTCTAAATGCCACGGCATTATGAATGGACGGCTCGTCTCTCCGTCATCTTGTGGAATTTATGAACTCCAGAAAAAAAAAGACTGTTGTCTCTCATCCTGTCATCATGTGTGTAGGATCAGCTCCTGGTCCTCCATGTTCAGCGTCATACCGACCATCTGCTTCGGTTTCCAGGTGAGTTGATCGCATTTGAAATGTAGTCATGTAAGTCCTTATAGACCTGGTTAACAACAACATGCGGCTGTCAGGCTCGAGACCACTGAGTGTGCGTCTGTGTGTGGATAGTTTGCTAAGGTTTGATAGAAGACTGCAAAAACTCAAATACAGGCATGAAAATCCCTCACCTTTCGCCGTTTTGAAACCAAAATAGGTGACCTACGTGAATCTTTTTTTTGGGGGGGGGGGTATTCATATTCAGTGAACTGCGAACAGGTGCGCGTGTCAGAAGGTCTATCTAAGTTAAGTTACCCAGGAGCTTTGTTGACATAGACTTAGCTAACGTTAGCTACAGCTTGATGAATTGAGTCATTTAACACAGCAGGAGAGAACGCGACGTTGGCCAGCTAGCTAAAGCTCCGCTGGAAAATGATTAGCTAACGCTACCGCCTCGAAGAAAGATTCGTTCATTTTACTGAACGAGATTCAAAGAACCGAGTCGGTAAAATGGTCGGTAATATCTCCCCCCCCGTCAACGAATGACTCGAAGAAAGATTCGTTCATTTTACTGAACGAGATTCAAACAACCGAGTCGGTAAAATCTCTGGGACAAAACCAGTTGAAAACCCCTGCCCTAGAGGGGTAATATCCTTCTCACCTTTTTCACCCTTGACCCGTTTTCATGCCTGCAAATTCATGCAAGTGACTCCAGCAAAGTCATTTAATCTCTATAACTATTTGACTTTAAAGATGTGTTTCAAACAAATGACAGAAAACACGTTTTATTGTTTAGTGGGGCATGTGCAGTATTACGGGGCAGTCTGTTAGAACTGACCTGTTGGCAAATACACCAAAATGTGCTCCCGTATAGAAACAAAAGCATAATTCTTTTGACAAACATCATTCAACAACCTTGTTTGTTGTTAAGTTGCAAAGTAGCTACAGCTTATGGCCGAGAAACAAACGAGCACAGTGAAGCTCCAACGAGTAAACAAACTAGAAATAAGCCGGTGAGCTTTACAAACGCTCCCGTTGCTACTTGAGGATAGCTGCTGCGCTCCAGTCCTAATGCTAAACTAAAGATGGGTACTGGCTAAATGACCTACAAAAGTTTACTTACTGTTTTGAATTTGAATTCATTATTTTGAGATAATATGTCAGTATTTGGAGATATTCTCATTTTGCCATTATATGACCGATAGGATCCAGGCTTCCATGCATTGAGACGTGTTGACTCAAAAGCCTTTTGCTTATTCTACAGTTACACAGAATCTGATTCTAGAAAGATGCCCTGCTGTTTCTTTCTATTTTAATGTAATGTTTCAGTGCCTGCAGCAGCGCCAACATAATTATATTTGCGCTGGCTTACGGCAGACGTTTGAGAGAGAGGAGCTGGACAAATGGCAGATATTGAAGAGACATTGAGTTTTTCGGGTCACTGGATTTTGTGTTAAAGTGTAGTAAAGGTCAGCAGGCTGGGGCCTCAGCGCCCAGCTTTTTAGATTTGATAGAGTGGTAGGATACGCCATAAGCCACCGTTCTGTCAATCTAAAGCGAGACGGACCGATGTCCCAAGTTACCACGGTAACCCCTGATGGATACTGCAAGTATCTAATAAAAGGAGGAGAAAACACAAAGGGATTGCTGCATGTCCCGTCACACAGAGACATGCTTCCTCAGGGTGAGTGATTGCATTGCAAAGGGTTGAAAAGGGAGCTGATGGGATCCTGAGATGAGTGGGGGGAGGAGAAGCAGGACAGTGGAAGCAGGATATAAAGCCTGGCGATGGCAGCTGGGATCAAGTGGGGACAAGACTCTCCATCGTGACCTCTGTGATTGTTAAACTTACCCCGTTGCGCCGCTCGGAGCCCGGAGCCTCCCTTTAATTCCCTATTTTATCTCAGTTCATCATACGCCGACAGAAAGATCGTGGATGGTAAGACTTTTGGATCCTCACCCTGAACCGTGAGCTCCAAACAGATGAGAAAACCCTGTTGGACCGAGAGCCAGTCTTTTTTTTATCCCTCTGCGCAGCTGTATCTAGTCTCAGGAGTTCATCCAATCCATCCAATCCAACCAAATCCCAGAACCCATTGACTACCTGTCGATTTAGCCTCGGGGGGGTAAGGAGGTACCGGGACCGAGACTTCCTCCTCATGTCCAGGTCAATGGCCACAGTATAATTTGCTCCAGTGAGACACGAGAGTGAAGTGGACGTCTTGCGTTATTTTCATTCACACAATTCAAATGATTTTCAAATACATTTCGAATGTGGATGAAATGTTTGCTATGAATGAAATAAAAAACACAGTAGTTTTGAAACTATTTTAATAAAGGCGTAATTTTAGGGCGTTTAACGGTTCAGAATTTTTTACTCTTGAAACATCTCCGTCAAACATCGGGATTTGTTCAAATCTCTCATAAAATCTTTGAACACATAATGCGTCCAACACCATTTCTTAATAGAGCATCATAATGCGAGTCAGTGCAAGCTCTTTTAATTTGAGCTCCATTATGAGCAGGACCGTGATCGCCATGGTTACCATGAGCAGCATGACGGGAATTAGTCGCAATAAGTATCTATTTAAGTTGGTCATTCCAAATTGTTTTAATTTAGTTCCTACATTGTTTATTTTGGACTTGTACAAATTGTAAACCTTAGCTCCCGACAATGTTATGTCGAAGAATCATGTGCGGAAAATGTATTTCTTCTTTTTGTATGTCCAACTTATCCGCCTACACTGCGACCTAAAACCCAAATCTTGTCCCACTGCCTGCAGATTCTGCATTCATATTTTATATTTATATTATTCCTAGAGCTTAACTCCAACCAAACACAACAACGATGGAAATGGCCTTTAATCGCCTCGTTTGTGTGTGTGTGTGTTCCAGTGCCATGAGGCGTCCATCACCATCTACAGCAGCATGGAGAACCAGCGTCTCTCTCACTGGGTCTTCATCTCTGTGGTCTCCATGATCTTTTGTCTCGTCATCTATTCCCTCACAGGTCAGATAAGCTATCTCTCTAGCGTCTTTATTGGTTCGTTGGATTCAGAGCTAAATGGAGATGTTGGCATGCTAAACCAAGATAGTGGACGTATACATCGACATGTTAGCATCGTCATTGGGAGAACGTTGGCAGGCTTGTGTTGGTATCGAGGCTCCGCCTTTCTCCGCTGCAGGGGCTTATGGGTACCTGACATTTGGAAAGGACGTGAAGGCCGACATTCTGATGTCGTACACCGGCGACGACATTCTGATGCTCATCGCCAGGCTGCTGTTTGGAATCTCCATCATCACCATCTATCCCATCATCCTGCTGCTGGGCAGGTGAGAAGCTTGTATTTAAAGTGAATACGGTCAAACACGGTGACCTACGTCACTGCTCATCTCCTGGACTTCTCTGCCTGGGTTACAATGTTTACAGAGGACAGTATTTTAGCTGCACGATTCCAAAAACACACACGCTCCCTCGCACCAGATCAGTGATCCAGGACCCCTTGCTAGGCTGGCGGCGGCGGCGGGACGGCGCGGCGACATCAGAGTTTGAGAGTCGCAGCCGCTACGTGCTGACAGTCATGTGGATAACAGCGACGCTGCTCATCGCCACGTACGTGCCGGACATCAGCAAGGTCATCAGCGTCATCGGGGGGATCAGCGCCTTTTTCATCTTCATCTTCCCAGGTAGCACTCTGGATACACATGTTCTCCCCAACCTGTTGCACCGCCTCAGCCTTGATGCCCTGCGATGTGTTTGGACAGGACTCTGTTTGATGTTCGCCATGCAGTCGGAGCCGGTCTCATGTAAAACCAGGTGGGAGCAAACCTCAATAATTGAAATGGTACCGTATTAGAATTGTCTGGGTGATGAGACAGAGAATGATTTATTAAGACACAAAGAAGGGAGGTAGTGGAACAAGAGGCACCTGAGTTGGCGTTTAATCGGTGCGCTCTGGGTGACACCTCTGGCATGGGGACATGTGGTGAGATGGTAATGTCCGCCGGTCCATCTGTACCACTGCATACTTTGTCAATGTGTCAATCACCGTCAACCACATGAAAGGAGGTGAAGCCCCACCCTGAACGGCACCTCCGCCCCCTTGAAGGTCAAGTTCATTTGGTTTTATTTCCTATTTGACGCCAGATCACAACAGAAGTCATCTCAAGAGAAGGTCTATACATTGTTCTTGTATTAAATGAACTTAATAGCTTCAGGTTATTTATCTTATGTGATTTCTATCTCCACATGGTTGCACGTTTGTGCTCTCACACCAAAACTGAACGATCTGAAAGATGTTTACAACGTTTGCTTCATGTGTAATGTAATGTAATCATTTGTCTTATTCACTTGTACCTGCTCGTCTCCAGAGTCATCCTCACTGTGTGGGGGGTGGTGACCCTGCTCTGTGGAGCTTTCATCTTCGGCCAGAGCACCACTATCGCCGTCATGCAGGTCCTCGGGAAGATCTGAGCGTTCCCCCTCCCGCACGGATCCAGGGGTTTACATGAAGACCAGATCACCACCTCCTTTGCTCTCCCCCAGAGAGGGCGCAGTGATTCATGGTCGCAGAGTACTTGGAAAACGGACGCGTCCCCCTGATGGCCTTTACAACCACCACTAATACCACTTAAACCCAGTAAACCCCCCTCCCCCCTCCTTCAGCCTCAAGGTACGGCGCCTTCATCTGGGTTCATTGTTCCCAGGCGCAGGTGACCAGGAGCTCCGTCTTCCTCTCGCCATACTGAGATGATCTGATTGAAATCCTCAGGTATTTCTGCAGTTTGTTTATGTTGTTTATTGATTGACCATCACATTCATTTTGCGTACCAGCATTAGAGCATGTGGGTAAGATAAGGAGCTCCAACTGATGGTGGGCTGGTCGCGAAGGACACATCTGTTTTTTATGTTGTGTTTCTTGAAGAATGTATTCCACTTCAACAGTGGGCACAATGTTTAATTATAAATAGTTAAATAACGTTAAACCGACCGGAACGTTGTGCCGATATTAAATGAAAACTATTATTATGTGAGCCCTAAGCCAGTTCCCCCTAGAATATGAGCTGAAGGAGGCCTGACTGGGAAAATGTCAAAGGGCTGCTGGTATTTACTGTAGAACACAGAGACGGAGCTTCGTACGCCGACTCGTTAAAATCAAATATCCAAGTAGTCATTCCAAAGGTTAAGAAGAAGAATTAATAATTGAATAAAACGATTTTTATATGAAACCTTTGTGTAATGTGCATCTGTCGGTTAATTGATTTTTACAGGAACCGGGAAAGGCAGATTGTAAAAATAGTGTTCAAAAACAAAGCGTCAGAATTATTAATAGGGGTTAAAAATACAATGTAAGTCGCTTTGGATGAAAGCGTCAGCTAAATGACCTGTAATTAATAACAGATTGAATCTGTACATTGAATGTGTCTCACCACCATTATGATACTATTTACATTTCTCTGACAATATATGTCTACTTGCACGATGAGTGTTATTCTCCTAAATACACCTGATCATTAGCCGCGTGGTGTCGCCGTTGTTTCCCGTTTTGTTTCCTCTTGGGAGTTTCTGGCGATCCTGCATGAATCTGCACGACTTGACACACCAGAGAATCAAAAGCAGAGGATTGCCCTGCAGGATGAGTCATTTTGAGTTTGAGAACAGAAACCGTAAAATGTAATCACAGAGCTGCCAGATGCTTTCAGTGTGAAACAATGTGGATCACCCAGTCGTTAGCTTTAGTTTGATAGTTTTATTGAATTGCATCACTCTACATCATCTAGAATTTCAACAAGATATTCTTTTAAAGACCAAATATAATACTTGCATCCCTGCGTTAAGTCTCTACACTTAAGAGAAAGCAGTTTTACTGAAACACACATTGAGAATTAATATTTCATTAAACATTGCCATAAAAGTGAACGTTCATTCTTAAATGACATTCTTCTAGTCATATATATATATATCTATATCTGTATATATAGATATATATATATCATATAGTTGATTTTAGTCTCTTGTCTCCTTCATAGGAATACGAGAAAAGAAAGAAGGTAAGAAATGCACAAAACCCATTGAAGAGTAGCATGGCCCTAATACTACAGCAAAGAAGCTACTGGACATTCAGTTGACATGCACTCGGTCGAAGGATAGAAACAGAACACAGCCGCAGAAGGGAAGAGTTATGGCCTCGATCGGCTCGTCAAATTCTTGATTGGCTTGGTATTGTGAGGTAACTTCCTGTTTCACCGGCTTCCCTGCGGCTACGGAGGGCTGCTCCTTCTTACAGGAAGCCAGGACCGCCGCGCACCTCCTCTGCCGTTTCATCTGTTCATGGCGCAAAGGAGCGTTCAACCAAGGCTTGTTTCGCTACGTCTCAACAGCATAACTCTCCCATTGTATGACGAAGCACAGGTTGCACTGGGGCAGCGCCAGGATAGAAAAAGAACGGGTTGCACAGTCTGAAGGACATTCAGGAATGTATCAATAGGGAACAGTATTGGCATTTCTGACGGGTCCCCCGCTATCCACCTCATAGACCCGGGCACAAAGCGGAGGAAAGACCCCCCCCCCCCCCCACCGATTGGAGCGTGTGGGCTGCATTCAGCTGAGCACTCGAATACTTTAAAACTATGGCTATCAGTATAGTAAGTCACTGACATGTACACATCAATCCATGCAATATGGCTTCATGGTTTTATTCATAATACAGCAGCTCCTTCTGGAACACAAACAAGGACTTGGCACGGGTGTGCAAGTGGTTTTTACGTATTCTTTTTAAGAGGTGAAAGAGTAAAGGTGCACCGTGGAGCTTTTGTGTAAACAAACCAAAGTTCTATGCACATTCAGAGTGTATCTTTGTGGATCGCTTAGCTGCAGTTTAAGGTTCAGGACGGGGTTTAAACCTGTTAGAAATACGCAGTCTCTTAAATCTCTAAAACGCTGCGTCCTCAGAAACTGAAATTGCCATTTACTGTATGAATCTGAGATTTAATCCAAATCTACTGCTGACGTGGTTTAAAGGGATTAAAGGAACAGTAATTAGCACCCTGATCTTTAAACGAGAGAATGTGGTGTTGTGTAATCGGCAATGAATGTGAGTGGAAAACATCCAAAATATGTTTAGCCTGTAAATCAGAGCCAAGCAAGAGCCAAAAAGGAAGAAAAACAAAAACAACCGTTAAATCGGAGTGTGCTGTGGTGCGGATTTAAAGTGTTTAAAAGATCACAAATTTAAACCGAGCTGAAGCCACAGAAGACTTTGGAAGGAACTTCGTAAACCGAACTCTCAAGGGAGCCGTCAAGGGAGATACGGGTTCTGCTGCTGCATTCTGCACCAACCGTGGACCAATAGTGGAGGACGAGGTGACGCCGCCGCCGGGGACGAGGCCGCGTTATCGCACGCTAACCGCTGCCATCTGCATAAGGATGCGTGTAGACGGGGGGAAAGATGACGTTTAGCATTAAAGCGCCCAGTGTTTGTTGGACTAGAAGAGGTTTAGCTGCAGGTTTATCTCCTGTTTTCCCATCACATCACTCTTGATGTTGGTCATCAACCTGGTTCAGCTATTGGATGTACAAATTGTTAAATCTTGAGTCTTTTTGCCGTGTCACAATTGTGCGATTCCTCGAGATGTTTGGAGTCGAATGCATTTTTCTCCTCGTAAAACATTCACAAAGACATTTCGCTTGCTGATGCCGTTTATACGATGAAATGCGAATCCTGTTGCCTACATCATACAAACAACACCGCTCTAGAGCGCTAATAGTGGTCAGAAAGCTCCACAGGGCACCTTCAACACAGACACCGAGAGATTAGTAGACACGTTTCACAGATAAAGCCGCAACGTATTTTGCATGCCTGTTCTACCAGCCTAGTGCCGAAGCTCCGTTACAGTATAGATAATAACATTCAACACTTCCACATTCCACACAGTCCTGCCCTGCTAAATGCAGCCCAGCGCGGCGCACGATCAATATTGGTATCAGTGTAGCTGGATGGCAAGACGGCACCTTTTGAAACAATAGAGCATTCTGAGCAGAGTGATTCATCAACACACCTTTAACCAGATAAAACAGGAACGCTATGTATCTTTTAAATACTCTCATCATACTCAATAAGCTCTAATATGCAGTATCTTCATTCACAATGTTCACTCACTTCTACATTGTGCTTTCTGAGTGAGAGTTTGATTGTACTGTATTACAGTGGTGGGTTCATCGTGGAGCTTGTGTGGGTGAGGTAAAGTGAGGCGTCGGGTGGATTCAGTCCTTGGTATTTGGACTTGAATTCCACCGTAGGGTCATCCCAGGGTGAGTGGGTGGTTCTAGGTGAGATTGGTGATTAGAGAACAGAAACAATCCTAAATCAACAGACGCAGGCTTGGGTCAATGGCCAAAAAAGGAAAATGTGTCCAAAATTTAAACCGTCTTGCTTTGGTTACAGTGCTTTGGACTGAAGGCAAGAAATGCTGCTCAATCAGCATTTTTTTTTTGTGTTTTTCTGCCAATGTGAGAAGTATGCACAGGAGTCATGGATTAACACACAGCAAGTGTGTTATACTGGGAGCCAAATTACTGCCAAAGTTGAACAATATTTCAATTTTCAGACGGCCGAGGAGACCCATCCAGCGTCTGGTCATGCTGCTCCGCGTGTTTCTGTTATGACCCTCATTACCACCGTGGTGGTTGAGACACTTTGTGTCCTATCGGTGACGGTGGCGGCATTGTGTGTTAGTTATCGATGCTGAGGCAGTTGTAGTTCTAGCAGTTCAGATCTATCAGCTACAGTACGCTGAGCGACGTGAAGTCATTTTTCCAGTGATATGTTGTAAACTGAAAACGTTTCATGTACAGACGTAGAATGCGATGGAGAAACTCTTTGTATCAGTAACACACCAATGCACCGCTAAAACTAGTGATGCGTAATCTGATGCCAAGAGGTCCACGATTTAAGACCGCTAGTGGGCTTTTACGTCACACCAACACAAAAAAATTACCTTTTATAAACCCTTAAAAGTTACTCTAACATGTTGTGATGTTTAAGGCTTCATATTCATGTCATTCAGATGGGTTTAAGTGTCTGATGGAACGCATCAGATTCAAAACAACCATTACGAGAAGCCACAGCGTCTAGACAGCTACTGCCACCTCGCTAAGGAGGACTTTGCACCAGAGCACTAAAAGTTGTCAATAAATACAAATAGAATTATAATAGAACAACATTGTCATACATACAATCTCCACTAGATTTACACCGCCAATTCGGACACGAAATACACAAACAGAAGGCAGAAATAAAGCAAACCTTAGCTGCATGGTAGAACAGTGAGGTGCTGCTAATATACAACTCCACTTAGTCCCTTCTGTCTCAAGGTAGCAGCAGACTCTTGTCTAAGTCATCTCACTCTCCTCCATCACCCTGCTGAGAGGGTCAACGTTACGGTTTCATGAAATAGAAGCTAGATGAAGAAATACAAATAGCTAACTATGTCGATATTTATGTATGTCAATCAGAATCATCCATACACCTAAATATTTGTCAAGACTTCTTTTCATAACTAAGTGATTGAATGGTGATACGTGGATTCACAGAGATTTGGGTTCAGTGTTCCGTTGCTCATTAAACACATGTGCTGTATTTACACACGGTTAGAATTAGCATTATTCCCACATCAGCCATTGTACATAAACGTAGCCTAGTTGTCGTGAACAAGCTCAAATTGTTCAGCAAGCATTTCAAATCTAAAGTTATGACCGTAACCCCGGTTCTCTTTATAAGCGGGTCAAAAGTGATTCGGTTTAAAATGAAAAACCCCAAAACAGGGTTTTACAAAATAAGGGGTTGTCTTAAATTCAGACTACAGGCAGAATGTAACGATGGTGCCATTGGAGAATTATGTTCATGGATGTTGTATGAATGAACGTTATTGGGCAAAGTAGGTTTGCGATACTACTGTGCAGAGGCAATTATAAACTACCAATTTTGTACGTAGAGACTTAGAGAAGGTGAGCTAACTGCCTAGCTAGCTGCTAGCCTTCAAGCTAAATCGAGCGGTTCGTTTTCCTGAGGTCGGGAGCCATTGAGGTGTGTGGTCCTCATTTAGTGCAGAAGGGCAAATGTGAGAATAACGTCAGACGCGTTGGATAACCTACAAAATATGTCAT